CTGTGTAAAAAGAAAAATCTGCCTTGTGTGGTGGCACACGCCTGTAATGCCAGCACTTGGGAGGCTGAGACAGGAGAATCGCTGGTAGGTCAACAGCCTGAGTGAGCTACATGGACCCTTTCAGAAAACAATACAAAATAACAGGGGCCAGGGAGATAACTCTGTAGAATAAGCACTTGCCCAGCAAGTGCAGGGTCCTGAGTTCAATCCCTAGTACCGAAAAAAAAAAAAAAAAAAAAGGATTAGGGGTGTGGCTCAGTGCAAAAGCCTCAAGTTCAGTCCCAGTGGAGCAAAACCAACTAGCCAAGTTGGGCACCACTTGGAATTCCTCCCCTCTCCCAGAGGAACCCCTGCCTGTGCCTCTGCAGTAGTTCTCATCACATCTATCTTCTGTGCCTCCGCCCTCGTTCCAGCCCTGACATTCTCCTGGCTGAACTCTATTAAAATAGACTTGTAAGGCTTCTTTATTTGCATCCTCAGCTGTGAAGTGCCGGCACCTCTCTGTCCATGCCCCGTGGGTGTATATGTCGGTATTTTCTTCCAGAAATCTTTTAAGGATCATGTCTCATTCATCCTTATTGTGTCCAAAGCACTTTCTAACCATGCGGTGAACATTAGGTCAGTGTTTGCATGCGTGGGTCCACTCACTAGGAGGAAGGAGTACAATCTGAACAACAGAATTATTCATGGAGCATTCAAAGCACCATCTCTTCTGAGAGATTAACATTCAAATAATAGTTCTAAAGGGACACCATTTATTCAATTGACCAGGTCAAAGAAACAAAAATGTTTCAGATGCATTTCTTGTTCCCTACTTTACTTCAGAGCCATAGACTAGTTATTAATATTATCTGAAGAAATTTTACTTTCAGTGTAAGAGAATTAGGATAGGTTGTTTTGATTTCCTGTTGTTACAGTGCTGTACAAAACATTATTTTACATTATATATCAGTTATCATAAATACATTTTTTAGATGTATTTACTACAAGGTCTCACTACACAGATCAGACTTCTGGTGGTCCCTCCTGCTTTCAGCCTCTGAAGTGCTGGGATTACAGGTGTGTGCCACTATGCCCAGTCTCAACTGCGGTCTCGGGATGCCCCAGTGGTGGGGTCAGCACAACACGCCAGGGATCAAACCTCAGTCCCTGCGCCTAAGCAGGTGCTTTAGTCCACTGAGCTGTCTGACTGGCCCCATAAATACATTTTTAGAGATCCGAGGCAGAATTGTTAATGGTAGTAGGGCGTAGTGGTTTATACCTATAATCTCAGCACTTGGGAAGTGGAGACAGGAGAGTAGCCATGCGTTTCAGGGCAGCCAGGGCTACCCAGTTCATGGCCAGCTTGTGCTACAAAGCAAGACCCTTTTAAAAAAAATACCATGACTTACTAAAAAACAAAAAGTTGCTAAAAGTAAAAAATATCATGGGGTCTGACATCATATGGATACAGGTTTATTTTGGGTTTTTTGGCAGAACCGGGGATTGAACTTAGGCCCTTGCACTTGCCAGGCAAGTGCTTACTCTATTGAGCTATCTCCCTGGCCCCTTGGATACAGGTTTTAATCCCACCTGTAATTTAGCAGCCATGTGAGACAGGGCAGGTGAATTGACCGGATCTTGTTCCAGGTGATCATAAGTGACCACAGAACATACATAAACCATGCCTGACAAGAAGAAATGCTATTTCCACCCTTTTATTCTCTTTTGGTACTGCTGTCAGTTTTCTTTTTCTTTTTTATCATTACAGTGTGGGGACTGCATAACAAGACCCTGTACCAAACAAATAAAGGATTTTTTTTTTTTTTTTTTTTAATACACATGGTGGTGGCTCATGCCTGTAAATCCAGGCACTTGAGAGAGAGGCTGAGAAAGGGGGATTGCTGTGGATTTGAAGCCAGCCGGGGCTACAAAGTCGGTTCAGTTGGGTCAGGCCAGCCTGAATTGTGTAGTGAAGCCCTGGTTCTTTTCTTTTTTAATGTGTTTGGTACAGGGTCTCGCTATGCAGCTTGTACTTGTAGTGATCCTCCTGTTTCAGCCTCCCCAGTGCTGGGATTACAGATGTGCATCACCATGCCCAGTTTTGGTGGCTGGCTTGGCATGACTGGTATCACATGTTCTGGGGATCGAATCCTGGTCCTTGCACTTGCCTAGGCAGGCTCTTAAACTGCTGAGCTATCTCCATGGCCTGAAACCCTGTTTCAAAACGACAAATGAAATAAAACACAAATATGATGTGTTAAGATCCTGGGAGGAAACATGTGGCATACTCAGGTAGGGACACTGTGGAGAAAGGGATAATAAGGATGTGGGTGGAATGCAAGCTGGGCCAGGAAGCTCCTGGGGGCTAGAGACACAGGGAACTGTTCCCTCCCCAGGCCTGACAAGCCTGGCCCTGAAGTCCGGAATGCAGCCACAGACAGCTGCAGCTCTCAAGAGAACTACCAGGACAGGATGGGGTCGGCTCGTTAATGTCTTTTGCCTCCGAATCTCCTCATGAAGTAGCTCTTCCCAACCCTGGGTTTGGGTGAATGGTCCACTGTGCTGGCTAACCAAGCCCAAAACCTGGGCAGAGAAGGCAGGGCACTCTGGGGTGCTGGGGCAGGAAGATAGAGATGTGGTGCCCAGCCTGGGGAACTCAGCTACTTAAGGAGGGGCTGTGTAAAAAGAAAAATCTGCCTTGTGTGGTGGCACACGCCTGTAATGCCAGCACTTGGGAGGCTGAGACAGGAGAATCGCTGGTAGGT